GAGGCTGCCTCCCCTACCTCAGGTTTCCACACTGAGGAGCTTGTGTGGGCCCGAGGTGGGAGCAGGCAGGGGGAGGGGAGCAGAGGGGCTGTGGTATGAACGAAGCAAGACACAGGCACCAGGTCTCAAGGGGACTCGCAATGTTGGGGTGGTTGGTGACAGGGGATGGACAGGGAGGAGGGGAAGGAGAAGGAGAATGAATCAGAGAGTCGTGGAGCCCAGGTTCTCAGGGCCCTGCTGTCTGTCCTCTTTGCCCGCAAAAGCGCTGTCACACGGTGCCTATGCGGTGACACCTTCTCCATGGAGAGAGGTGGCAGACTTTGGCAGACAATGGAGATGAGAAACAAAGCTAGCACACTCAGAACTGCACCCCTTCCCATGAGAATGGACAAGCAGGCCGAGTTTGGATCTTGGTGTCAGTGCCATGATTGCTGCAAACCAGTTCAGAATCCCTTTAAATATTGATTCACTGGTTCATTTTTCTGTTGTCATTTATAGTGAAATGGCATTCTCACCTGAGCAGGCTTCGGGCTGAACATAGAAAGCGCAGGCTGCAAACTCCCTGCGCTCATCACACTGATAAGAATCAAGCGAACGCCGCAGAGAGCGATGCCAGCAAACCAGAGGAAAATAAATTTCTAAAGAGTGAAGTGATCATCCTAGGAAAATATTTCAGGGGAGAAAAATAAAATGTTAGAATGATAAAGAAAAATATAGACCTCCTAATCCATATTGTCTGCGAAAATGGAGAAAATGTTTCATTCGTAGAGGTATATAAAGTGGTACGAGAAATGTGTCTGCTCCATGTAAATTAATTCAATGCAACTTTCTTTTTCTCTTTCTTTCTTTTAGATAAAAAACCTCTTCATGAAATAAAACCCCAAAGTAAGTTATTTTTCCTCTTGTGAATATAATTTATTCTCCGACTTGCTGCCTTACTGTGGTATTTGTCTAGGAGCCCAGGAAAACTGAAGCCCCTCAGAAAGGTCTGGGCTTTCCAGGTTCCCCTCCTGGAAGGTGGAGTCTTAGATCAGGAGTTTAAATTGAAAAGAAATAAAAGAAATACATACCCCTCCTCACTCTTAGAGTAAAAAAGTAAATCTCTCTTCATTCTTTCTGCCTGTAAGGTTTTTTTTTTCCTTTTTTTTTTTTTTTTACAAATGCCATCTAGAATTCTTATATCTGAAGAAATTTGTAGCATCTGAATTGATATTTGTCAGTACACGCTTTCATGAGAGTGGCCTTGGGCCAAAGCCTGGTGACAGGCTCCTGTCCTAGGGTTGGGCATGCCAGAGATGGCAGACCTGTGGAATCCATGGATCCATGGTGACAGGGTGGATGAACTTGGTGCTGGCTAGAACTCCTGCACGTGGGCCAGTCTTTTTTTTTTTTTTTTTTTTTTTTTTTTTTTTTTTTAGTGAGTTTGTTGTTTTTTTTTTTTTTTTTAGTGTTTTTAAGAGAGATTTTTGCTATAGGGTGTGTGCCCTTGCTGGAGGGACAGAGACAGAAAGCGAGAAATCACCTCCCAGGGAGATGGCCAGTCCACAATCCCTTCTCCTCCATTCTCCTCTCAGGATCTTGGGCACACATAGACACGTACCCAGTGTGTTTTAAGCCACCAAGTCTGGGACTCGAACTGTGGTCAGCCATGTGGGAGTCCAGTGATGTAACCATTACACCAGTGGCTAGTCCCCACCAGGAAGTGTTTTTCAAAGTCTCAATGCCCAAGCTGCAACAATGAGATTAGAATTTGGCATGTATGTGGTAGAGATGGGAATTAGAACCCAGGGAATCTCAATTTTATTTTCTTAATACTAATTTTCATGAGAGAGAGAGTGAGCAAGAGAGAGGCAAGCATCTCCAATAGGATCTCACACCACAATCCTCCTCTGGCCTTCCTGGCTCGCCCAGGTCAAAGACATACAGCCTGGTGTGCACGGTTGACCAGGGAGCCCAACCCTAGTTCTCCAGATGTCTTCCACCACTGCAGAACCTTGCTGCTACTGTTGCACCACGCACTAGGACCAGGAGTCCCAAGTTCTCAAAGCTCTAACAGGTGGTTTCAATGTGTAGCTCAAGCTGAGAACCACCGACTTAGAGAACCATCTCAGGCCAACCTAATGGTTAAGGAAGGCAGATCCCACATCACTGATGTGATTGGAATCTTGCCTCTAGCGCCCTCAAAAACCCACCTGGCGCATGTGCATATGTGCCCAAATTCCCAACAGGATAAAGAAATGGAGGAGATAGGATTACAGCACGCCCACACCCTGGGGGTGATTTCTCCCTCCTCTTGCTGTCCTGTCTAGCAAGTGCATATGACCTCTAGCAATTAAAAAAAAAAAAAGAAAGAAAAAAACTTTTTAAAAAAGGGAAAATAAATAAGCTTAAAACTGTTTCTCAGAAGATGGACCAGAGACCACATGCATCAGATTCTTGACTTGGTGGGGTCCTTGTTAAAGGTGTCCTCCTTCAGAACAGAACGTAGGAATTAGGACCCCAGGTGGGAAGCCCTTGGAATCCTCATGTCAGACATCCCCCCTCGTTATCGTTATCCCCATGCACTCAGAAATGTGTGAAGCCTACTGGGGAACCTCCGGGCACTGGGGCAGTCGCTGGTCAGCTCTCATCCACAGAAACTCAGCACCTACCCGGCCAGCTTGACTCGTGAAGCTCATGAAAGCTGCTTCTCATTTTAGGATAAAATGAAGGACTCTTCTTTAAAATCCTCGGGTATTCAAACTCAAAGAGCTTGGGAGAGTAACAGTCTTTATTAGCTGTTTTGAAAGAATTAAGACCCTATGAGGGTAGCTAGAAATAGGTAGGCCCTTGGGGGGATGGGGGGGTGTCAGGAGATGTGGAGGAAGAACCAGTGTTGGTCCCTACTCTCTTGTGAGGCCTCAGGCAGGCAGAGGATGGAAAGGGGCTGCTATGCCAGGCCGAGAATCTCCTCAAACAATGGAATCCTTGCTGACGGTTCCCTGCTGCGTGCAACCCTCAGTTCTCAGGTAGCAGCCCTCTGACGTCATGTCTGTTAGATGTTAATGTGGAGGTGCGGACCTGTGAATGTATGTGCACGTGCCCATGCGCAAGCATGAGCATTGCGTGTGTGCACATGTACACATTTAAAGAGAAAAACAGGCCTTAGGACATTTGGCCCACACCTGCATCAGGACCCTCAGATGGCAGCTGCAGGCAGGGGGCTCTTGCCCTCCTCCAGGTCACATGGTGCACACCATCCGCCGGTTCTGCTCTGCAGAACAGGTGAACTCGTGGGTCTGTGTGGCCGCCAACATGAGGGTTACTTAGAAATCCATGTGTGTGTTTTTAAAATTAATTTCATGCTTAGTGTGTGAGTCCTGTGCCATTCTAATTTGGTTACATCTGTACTTCCAGCCATAACCACCACAGAAGCTATTTCTAGTCCTTAGGGACTCCTGAATTAGTTTTTGCTTGGGGTTCTCGCTCCTGAGCACCACGCTTAATTGCTGGATACTGCAACAGAATTGCTTAAACTGTTTTAATTTGTGAGTTCCCTAAAAATAAAACCTTAGCAGAATCAATGTGATTGCAAAAGGCTCCCGGAGGAATCCAGTCGGGTTCTGGAAGCTGCACGGTTAGAATGCACTAGACAGATTCAGGCTGCAATGGTTCAGAGAGGGGCTTAGTCTAAGACGACATGAGTCATCACTGATGCAAAATCAAAGTCAATTATGAAGATAATTGAGAAACAACCTGTTCCTATATATAGCTGCACACGTGACCCTGCGCAAGGCCTGGTGGTTAGGAAACTTCACTCTGAGCCTTGCACGCCGGCTTCCACCAGCAGGCGGGCAGAGGAGCTAGCATTGAGTTGAGGGGAGGTGTAAAAGAAAGTGAAGTCTTAAGATATCTGTTGGCAAATCATAGTGACAAACTGGGAAAAATATGTGCACTGCATAGCTCATGAAAGCACTTATTGTAAATGAGATAATTTAATCAATTACGTTTCCTAATGTACTAAACCGAATGTTTCATTTTCTGCTTCTGCACATCTTAAATTATCTTCAGGTGCTTTATGAGATTTAATCATAGTTAATAGAAACTTCATTACCATCAAATGTGCTTTCAATAAATGTTGTGTAACAATGTCAGGAGGTGCAGTAAAATATCGTAGGTTCTGAATGGCAAACACGCACCCCCAGAGTCAGACTGAAAAGTGGTTGTGTTCAGACAATGAAGCTCCTTGGAGGCTTGGAGAATGGTTGTCTGAAGGGCTGTGAGCCTCTGAGTGGTGACGTGCTTGGTGAGCTCACCATAGCAGTGAAGACTCTTTAGCTTTCCCTGCAAGCAGGTCGGCAGTGCCTGTTCACTCCTCAGCTCCTTTCTACGTAGTTTTGTACCTGGGAGAGATGACAACTCCTCATGAATCTAATTAGCAACCTTAATCTCAGTTTAACCAATAATCTCAATCTTGGCTTCTTCAAAATTGCATTTAACCTTCTCTGTCACTGCCCTGAATCCATGGCTCTTCTGACCATGTTCATCTCAGTGAAGACCATGCTGTGAAGACCTCTCCGAGGTCGAGGTCAGACAGCTGGACAGCCTCCTGGAGCCCCGCTGAGCACCCAGTACCTCACCATGATCTGCCTGTCCTCCCAGCTAAACAGCTCTCAGGTTCCTTGGGGCTCTCCTTCCTCACATGGCTCAAACCCTGTTCTCTTCATTCAATGGCTATTTACCAAGTGCTCACCCAGTGTTGGGAGCTGGTCTGGGTGGTGGGAATCGGCACTGAACAAAACACGTCCTTGCTAGTTCTGAAAAGCTCACAATCTTAGGCAGGAGAGATAGAAATAAATAAACCAACCAAATAATATGCAGTGCCGAATGCTATGGAGAGGGTCTTGAGTGTTATAGAACAAAATAAAGCAATGTTGGATGGGCAGTGGCTCTTTCAGAGTGTAAAGAATTCAGAGATCTCTGTGAAAAAATTACATTTGAGAAGAGACCTGGAATAAAATAAGGAAATAAACATTCTGGATATCTGGGGGATGAGAAAGGGAACCACAAGGTGCACACATATGAGGTAGGAGATTGTTTGAACTCTCTGAGGGTTCTTAAAGAGACCAAGATGTCTGGAGCAGAGTAGCAAGAGGAAGACAGGAGACACGATGATCAGAGGAGAGGGCGAGGGAGGGAAGCTTCCCTGAATGTTACTGCCAGGATAAGGACCTTGGTCTTTACTCTGGGGGAGATGGGGCACCATTAGGAGTTGTTATTAAGCGACCTGACCTCATATTTTCAAGGATAAACCTAACTGCTGTGTTGAGAGTAAACCTATAGAGAACCAGAGAAGAAGCAAAGAGATCTATCGCAATGAGCTATCATAATACCAATATTGTAGGTCCAAGATGACTGAGGCTTGGAACAAATTCACAGCAGTAAGAACTGTAAGGTAGCTTATATTCTGTGTATCGTTTGAAGGCAGAGTTGAAAGGATTTGTTAATGGATTGGGCATAAAATAGGAGATGTATGGGTGATCCTAATATTTTTAAAGAATTATTTTATTTAACTTTACTTATTTTTATTTATTTATTTATTTATTTATTTATTTATTTATTTATTTATTTATTTTATTTGACCAGAGAAGGATGCTTCCCTGAATGTTACTGCCAGGATAAGGACCTTGGTCTTTACTCTGGGGGAGATGGGGCACCATTAGGAGTTGTTATTAAGCGACCTGACCTCATATTTTCAAGGATAAACCTAACTGCTGTGTTGAGAGTAAACCTATAGAGAACCAGAGAAGAAGCAAAGAGATCTATCGCAATGAGCTATCATAATACCAATATTGTAGGTCCAAGATGACTGAGGCTTGGAACAAATTCACAGCAGTAAGAACTGT